AACTACATGTTATTTTTCACTGTGAATGTACTAGGCATTTGTAAAAGAGACCATGCATATAGATTGCTTAAATCTAAATGTAGATATTTATGATTTTTCTTGGAAGCATATACTTTATTAAGGTATAAGGTGGATATTAACAGGTATTATATAGTCGTATAGGCTTTTGCTTTTTAAAAAACAGCTTTTGGGGGTTTAATTCAAATACCATACAACTTAGACATTTAAAGTATGCAGTTCAGTATTTTTTAAGTATATTCACATGGTTGTATAACCATCACCACATGAGAACGTTTTCATGCCTCCTGAAGAATCCCCCGTATCTATTAACAGTCAATTTCCACTTCTCTTCTCTCTTCCCCTGCTCCCAACTCCAAGCAACCATTAATACACTCTACAATTTTCCCTATTCTGGACATTTTGATATAAAATGGCATCATTCAACATGTGTTCTTTTCTGACTTGTGTTTTTCATTTAGCGTAATGTTTTCAAGGGTCATCCTTGCTGTAACATGTATTATCAGTACTTCATTTGTTTTTATTGCTGAATAATACTACATTGTAAGGATATACCACATTTTACTTATCCATCTATCAGTTGATGCACATTTGGGTTGTTGCTGCGTTTTTTCTATTCTGAATAGCACTGCTATGAACATTTTTACACAAGATTTTGTGGGGTCAGATGTTTTCATTTCTCTTGGGTATATACCTAGGATTGGAATTGCTGGGTTTTATGGTAACTCTAAATTCAACCTTTTTCGGAACTACCAGATATTCCAGAACAGCTGTGCTATATTATACTCCTGCTACAGTAGTATGATGGTTCCAATGTCTTCATTCTTGACAATACTTGTTGTTGCCTGGTGTTTTTTTAATATAACCATCCTATTGGACGTGAAGTGGTATCTCATTGTGGTTTTGACTTCCCTCTTCCAAATGACTAATGATGCTGAACATCTTTTCATGTGCTTATTGGTCATTTGTATGTCTTCTTTGGAGAAATGTCTGTTCTACTTCTTTTCTTTAATTTTAAAAATTTGTCTCTTTATCGTCATGTTACAAATTTCTTTTTATATTCTAGATACAAGTTTCTTTAAAGCTGTATGATTTATAAATATATTCTTCCATTCTCTGGGTTGTCTTTACTTTCTTGATGGTGCCCTTTGAAACGCAAGCGTTCTTAATTTTGTTCAAGTCCAGTTGTATCTTTTTTTCTTCTATTGCTTATGCTTTTAGTATCATATCTAAGAAACATTGCCAAGCCTAAGGTATTCGAGATTTACTCATATTTTTTTCCTGCAAGTTATTAATTTTTTTGTGTGTGGTGCACGGGCCTCTCACTGTTGGGGCCTCTCCCGTTGTGGAGCACAGGCTCCGGACGCGCAGGCTCAGCGGCCATGGCTCACGGGCCCAGCCGCTCCACGGCATGTGGGATCTTCCCGGACCAGGACACGAATCCATGTCCCCTGCATCGGCAGGCGGACTACCAATCACTGTGCCACCAGGGAAGCCCCAATATAAAATTATTAATAAAATATTTTACTTTTTTTTTTTTTTTACCAAATCTTGGCAATTCAGTATGAATTTTACACTTAGAACACATCTCACTAAGGACAAGGCACATTTTCAGTGCTCAGCACTCACATGGGGCCAGAGGACAGCAGAGTTCTAGATGTTTTGATATGATAGCCAGTCAAGATATTACATCAACATTACTCAACTTCCTCTGTATTTCAGGGTACCCTGACTCATCCCTTTAACTTGATAGAACTGGCTTTGGGGGAACTATCTGCCTGCCTGTTCAGCATGGCCCTTCCTGACACCAGAGGGTCTGAGAATTTTAAGCAAGTGATGTGGCAGCTCACCAAGAGACATACATTATGATGAAGATACCCGAGCCTCTCAAACTAGAGAAAATGGGCATGTGAAAATTAGAATCTCTTCTCCCTTATCATAGTTACAGTCCATTCCATTGAGGTAAAGGTATATGTAGCAAATGCCACCGATGAAGTGGTGCTCACATGGGCATAATTTTGCCACCACTCTCCCTCCCCCCCCCCCCCCC